ATTTTTGTAATTCCCTAGATGGATGTATTGGACAGACTGGGAGGAAGATGAAATAGATGCCAGCGTGGGGAGGATTGAGAAGGCCTGGATGGATGGCTCCAGCCGGCAGGTTTTTGTCACATCAAAGATGCTCTGGCCAAATGGTTTAACTCTGGACTACCGAGCCAATGTGCTGTACTGGTGTGATGCCTACTATGATCACATTGAAAGGATCTATTTGAATGGGACTGACAGAAAGGTAAAAGAGAAATGCTGCTGGTTTGCCACAGGCATGTTCTGTCTCTGGATTTTATTGTGTTACGTTAAAAATACTTCCCAAGGTTTTTAAAGTCTGCAGAACCCCGCGGCATGTTCGGCGTCATCTCTGCTGGAACCATGGGGGCAGTCTCAAGTGAGAGACTGAAACACAGCTCAGGATGTTCCTCTGTCCTAAGTGAACACAAAACCTGATTTTCATTTATTTATTTTTTAATTTTTTTTTTTTTTTCATGTAGAAAGGAGTCATATTTTGATTGAGTCACAAAACTGCAAAGAACTTTTCAGTAGAAAAACCTGTTTTTTTGGCTTTTCCAGAAAGAGGCTTTTCCTGGTACTTTGCTGGATGAGCTGGTTTTTCTGAATCCCTCTGCCTCTTTTGAGTATTTGTGGTAATATTCAGAGAGGCAGCACTCAAGAAATCCTGTCAAAGATGGAGAGAGATTGCTTTAGTTGTTACTAATGCCTGTAGCAGCTGGATACAGCTCTGTGCAGACATTCTGTGTGGGTTTGTAGAAGCAACAAGCACAGAATAAGACATTTTGAAAATGGTTAAGGCTCATGTTTGGGCAAGTTTTATCACCTGCTTCATAAAATTAGTGACTGGTGCACAGTAAGAAGTACCTGTCTTTACAGGTTTTATTTTGAAGTGTGTCACAGAATGTATTTTTTTTGGTTTTTTTCAAAAGTGATTTTTCTGTAATCCTGAGATATAACAAAAAATGTATAACTACTTGAATTTATGTAGCTGAAAATAACTATAAGATGTTTTCTTTCAATCCTTAATCATTTGTATTTAACTATAGGATATTTTGGTTGAAATTTAGCTGGATCAGTCACATCTATAATTCTTTAATACAATAAAGATTCTGGGGGATAGGGACGTCCTTAATTCCACCAATAGCTATCAGAAAATTGACTGATTGATGAATTTGGATCAAAAGCAGTTCAGAGATGAGGAGCTTTGCATATAAGAATTCCAGGTCCAAAGAGAAAATTTGAAGGGCAAAAGGAGATGGTGGTTGTCAATCACCTCAAAGAAGTATTTTAGTTATTTTTACCTCCACGTTCTCTTGGGTTTGTGTCTAGAAATAGACAAGGTAGGGCACATGAGGAGCTGCTTCCTCCTCTCTGGAAGCACGACAGGAACAAGGCTCTTGGTTCAAGCAAGGATCCCAGCCAGAAGGAGAGCAATGACTCCAAATGGAATCTGCTGGGATGGAATCACAGAGCCATAGAATTGGTTATGTTGGGAAAGGCCTTAAAATCTTCCAGTCCAACAATTAACCCAGCACTGCCAAGTTCACCGCTAACCATGACCCTAAACCTCACTTTACATCTTTCAAATCCTCCCAGGGTTAGAGACTGCACCACTTCCCTGGGCTGGCTGTTCCTGTGTTCTCTGATGGGGGCCACTTAAAGTGAATTTATATGTAGTTGTTTTTTGGACTCTTTTTTTTTTAAGTTAGATATTGATTCTGCTGCACAGAAGGGCTTTGTCCTCTTTATTTAATTTTACTGGAATAGGTTGTTATGTTTGGGACAGTAATTATCTCAGTATTCCTATTTCCTGTTTTAATTTCTCTGAAAAATTGAAGATTCTTTTAGCTTTGCTGATGCTCACCTACCGCTAATTAATTGCAGGTAGTCTACAATGGAAAAGATTTGAATCATCCTTTTGGACTGTCACATCATGGAAATTATATATACTGGACAGATTACATGAATGGGTCAATTTTCCAGTTGGATCTGGTATCAAGGAACGTGACACTGTTAAGAAGTGAGAGGCCACCCTTGTTCGGGCTCCAGATTTATGATCCACGCAAACAGCAAGGTACTTATGCAGTTTCTCCAGAGGTCTGCCATAAAAGGACATTTTTCATTAGAGTCTCCAAGTATTTTGAGGTGACTGGATGAACAAAAATAGAATAACAAATATGGGTTGTGGCATGAGGAAGTTACTCTTCGGAGTTTCAGTTCATTGATGTAGATATTGATCCTCTCATAAATACTAAAAAGTGAATAACAGCATTATTCCTGTCTGAATTCCTTCTAAGCATTCACAGTGCCTTTATTGCCTTTTTTCCTTGCATGGCCAAGAGGTGCTGTGCAATTATCAGTTACACAGGGTAACATATCTGCATTGGTTCAGAGATATTAAATATATGATTGCATTTACCTTTTCTTAAATGAGACCATAGATCCTGCCTGTATTTTTTTTGTTTTATTTGCTCCCTCATCTTGGTCTACAACCAACACTGTATGTTGTACAGAATAAAAGTAATTCTTTGAGAGTAGTGGAAAAATCCATAGTTGGTGCTACTTGTATCCATAGAGAAAGGAGATAAAAGCCATAGGTTTGCATGGATGGAATTTAGAAAATGCAATTGCTACTCTAAAGGTAAAGTTAAAAGTGTGTTTGCATTCCATTTGCTGCATGCAGCATTCTTTTGAGTTGTTGAGTATTTGCTCACTTTAGTTAAAGCATATTTCTAATACCAGAAACATATTTCTAATTACCAAAATTATAATGTTTGTTTGGTCTGCCACCAAACATAAAAATGAGCTTTAGGAATTACTATAAATAAAACACTGTTTAAAAGATGATTTTTTTTTTACTGTTTAATTTTTTTCTGATGCTGTGGCATCTAAATTTCCCTTACCTAAACCAAGCTGGTCTGTGTAGCACTGTGCTAAGTCAGGGTTGCTGCAACAGTGTTCTTCTTATCACAGCTGCTTTTCAGGGACTCTCTGACATTCAAAGACATGTAAAAGTACAGTTTGTTGGGGCTTTTTTCTTGGATTTAATGTGGGTTTTGTTTGGTTGGTGTTTTTAAGGCAAAATCTGGGCCCAAATCTACCCTCGAGGTGGCCAAATTTTAGAATGCCGTGTCTGCTAATAGAAGATGCAGTGTTTGCTTTTAATACTACTGCTGCTTTATTTGGTACTCAGAAAATTCCTTTATTTTTCAGAAAAAAGGGACATTTAATACAGTTGCTGCTAGCTTCCAAATAAGCTGACACCAGAGAGAGAAAGCATTGCCTCTCAGGCAGTTTTGCTGAATGAGCTAAAGTCTTAAGGGAGGGAATTTGGCTCGTTAATATATTCTTTGTTTGAAATTGTAATTGGAATTTTGTAAGCTAACTGCAGCCTTTAGGAACTTCCCTTCTTGTCACGCTCACTGAGGTTGATCTTGCCATTGTTCCCAAAGGAGCATAAAAATTTCTTTTAAAGAAACTATTTGTGTGTGTGTGCATGTTTTCCTTGTAAAAGAGCAGGCTCAAGGCTGAATTGTTGTACAGAGAAAACCACAGGAAACCACTTTATAGAGGAGTTGTTTATTAAAGATTGCATGCACATACCTCAGAAACACTTGGCTGGGATATTTTGAGGTGACTGCTCTGATGCTGCTGGTCTTGTCAGTGCACAAGCAGAAACTTTGTCACAGCAAAGATCAATTCAGATTGGGATTTTTATTAGAGGGGTTTCTCCAGGATCCTGTTCCAACACTTTGCTTTGTGCTTTGGGTAGGACAGGAAGCTTTTCGGATCTCCTCAAGGAGAGATGTTTTTCATTGTCTCATTGAGGCATGATCTCCTTGAGGAGAAATGCTTTATTTTTTTTATTTTTTTTTTTTGGTTTATTTTCCTTTGCTTTCAGAGTTTAGAATTTGCTTTACTTCCTCAGGCTGAGTCTTTGGATCTCTATATATCAGGAATCCTAAAAAATGGCAAGGTGAAGCACAGTAATCATAGGAGCTGGATTTGCACTCAGAATATGGCTCTGCCAAGGCCTGCAGGTATTTCCACTGCTTTGAAAGGCTGGGTTGCTACTTCCATATCAATAATTCTTGAGAAAGTGCATTTGCAGCAATTAAAGTAGGCTCTTTTGAAATCAGCTAATGTTTTAACTCCTCACAGAGAGCTTGAGCACCAGACTGCTGCTCTTCACACGTGGAGGATGATCCTACAAGGGGGCTTTCACAATTTAACAGCACCAGAGGTTAGGTTCAGAAGAAGATACAAGTGCAATAAATACTTCAGTATATCTCTTAAATGTGAAGATTAAACAAATGTGCATGCTTGCCTTTTTTTCTTTTTTTTTCCCCCTGAGAATGATGACTGAAATGCAATCACATTGTTTAGCTCTGGCCTAATTTTTTAGCTAATTAAAATGGAATCAGCCTAATTTAATCCCATGCAATCAACAGTGCAGCAGTTACCTTTAAAAGCTGACAAAATATGAAAAATATGATAATGACTTCGAAAGTATTCTAAAATTTTGGGACTATTTTAAGAACAACCATATAAAATAGCTGTTTATAGCTGAGGAAATTTAATTTCCCAAATACTTTGGGATAGCTTTAGAGCTTCTACAGCTTGTTGAATAAAGAGGTTTAACTTGTTTGAACTGTGCTGTGGGAGACGTTTCAGCATAGGAGTCTCTTCAGCAAGACTGATGGGACTGAAGGTCTCATTTCACCTTCAGGTTGAAGACTGCACTTCATAAACCTTTTTATCTTGGATCTTTTTGCTTTAACTCTTGGTACTTCTATTTTCCTTGTCATCATCCCCTCTTTTATCACTTTGCTTAGCACATAACCCACTGTGCAGAAGTTTGTCATCCCAATTATGAGGTTAAATAGGGACTTTTCATCTTCAAGATGGACCATTTGACTTTGATCTAGTGATTTAATTTTTGATGTTATTTATTTTCAGCTTTCATTTGGCTTCAGAATCATCCTGTGTTTTCTATATTTGGCTTAAATAGTCTTTTTTTCTGTAGGTTTATTCTCGTTTAGTGAGCTGACAAACTCATGTACATTCTTTAATTAAATCATTGCAAATGTTTTGACGTGTGCAGTGTAGTTTTGGAGTCGCTTTTGAAGATTGTATTTTAGTTTGTTTATTTCAGCAGCTTCTGAGAACTTTTTAAACCCTTGCATTACTGATATCTTTGATTTGTACAATGATGGCCCTGTAAAGTAGACTTTCAAGGCTACTTTTTCTGAGGTTCTGTTTCACCTGAGGTTCCCCAAAATTTAGACTCAAATACATTTCTTACATTTTGGATGTTTTGTTCATAATATTTTGGTTGTAACAGTTGTTTTTTTAGTGGTTTAGCTCATAGTCTGATACTTGAAGTCAGGATCTAATCATGTGTATTAAGTGTCCAGTCTAACCTCTTTCTAAAAATGTGATCAAGCCCTCTCACCTCTCAGAGAATTCCCATTTTCCCTGGTTATATATCTGTGTTCTTGTCATCTCATCACACCCTGCCCAGTGAAAGCACAAGTACCACAATGGCCTTTCTCTACTAATCAATTTGCACAAATTTATTTAAAACTTCAGTGGGGCTTTAATGGACTGTTGACTCATTTTCATTCTGGTTCTCATTTTCCTCTAAGAAATGTTGTGTACAGTGGATCAGAAAAAGTATAGATAAAGGTTATTAAGCACTGCTCAATATAGCAAGACATATTAAGGTACATCTTAAAATATAAGAACTTTCAAAATATTAATTTTTTTGCTCATTATCAGATTGAAAGTTTAGAGATTTCCCTGCAGGAATGGCTCTGATGGGACAGTTTAATATCCATGTTCATAGCTCCATGAGAACTTAATATTACATTTCCTATGAAAGGTGAAGTTAGGAGATTTGAGGAGAAGAAATTGTGTGGAGTCTGTTCCGGCCCAGGAAGCTGACAAATGTTTTCTACACCTTTAAAAAGCAGAACTGCTTTTTACTAGACCCATAAGATTAAAAAAAAAATAAAAAATAAAAGTAGTTTTAAATTAAAGATTCAGCAGACATGAAGTTTTATATCTTGCTTGATCATTATCACTTCTCACCAACACCTGAAATCTGCAGAGCTTTGCTCAAGAGGAGCTGGGTGTCCCCAGCAGTGCAGATCTGAGCAATTGGGTCGTGACCAAAGGGATGCAAACAGAAATTGTGATATTTGTGGGTTCTCAGTGACTTTAAGACTGGTTGCCTCAGGAATGAGGTGGTGAGGATGCAGCAGCTCTTGGTGGATGGTTAAAACACCTGACAGCTGTCAGTGTCTTCATGGGAACAGCTTTGGGGAAGGAACAATAACACGGAAAAACAAAGCAGAGCAATGACAGATGTGTTCAGAAAAAAGTACTGGAATATTTACCTATATTCTATCTGCCATAAATCTCTTTATACTTTTGTTTTCTCTCCTTTTTTTTTCTGATCTGCATTTGTAGCCACATTGTTTTAATGTGTACAGATGCCAATTAACTTCAAAACATTCCTTTATCTGCTGTTTGATTCCTTGAAGCCACTTTGTGCATGTAGCTGTACCAAATATTTTGCAGTATTTGTTCCCTTCGTAAAACAGGCAGATAAAATGCTGTGAGATGATGGTACAGTTTTTTTGGTTTTGTTTTTATATTATTATTATTATTGCTATTATTATTTTATAGAGTATTGCAACCTGTAACTAATTATGTTTAAATATTATAACCCACAGTAACCAAACCATGAGAATAATGTGCTCCTAAATGTTTCTTTTCTCAGGTGATAATGCCTGTCGTGTTAATAATGGAGGCTGCAGCACTCTTTGTTTGGCCATTCCTGGAGGCAGAGTTTGTGCCTGTGCTGATAATCAGCTTTTGGAGGAAAACAGCACAACCTGCATGAGTAAGATTCTTACAGAATATCTGAGTTGATGCTGCTGTTAAGGGATCAAGTCAGACCTGAAAACAAAACCATAAAGTGTGGCCTCCTAGAGGGTCTATAAGACAAAGAAATATTACTTGAGTAAATATTCTAGTTTACAGAGTATAAAAGATTTTCCAAAGAAACCAGAATATTACATACACTGTTTGAGAATAAAATGCATTGGAAAATATTTCAACATATCTGACATGATAAAGCATTTAAATAGTTCACTGAAATCTTTTAAAGTATCAGAAATGGATCCATATAATTATTAAATTGAATATATATGAACAGTTTTTAGATAATTCTACTAAGTATCTTAATTGAAAATCTGACATTGAAATGTTCATGATGAAACTGTTCATAAAACACGTCAAGCTGATGTATTTATATATGATAGGTTCTGACACAGACTGTGCAAATATTGCTGTCTTTCATCTTTTCTTTATATATCTCCATTGAAACAATAGAAGTTGTTCTAATAAAAGGTGGGGATTTGAACTAAAATAACAACTTTCCAGGTATTACAAGTATTTTTTTTAATGTTCAGAATTGTTGTTTATAGCTTTCTAAAAATTTTCTCTATTTATTTTAAGTCTCCTTGATGTGTTTCTTGAAGTGACTTTTAACATTTTACATAAGACTCCAGCAATAAGCTTAGTAGAGATGAGTAAAGCATAAGGATTATTTCATAACATGATGAACATTATGGAGCCTGCAATGACCAGGCAAAGCCATCACTTTTCTTAAAAAAAAAAAGCTATTTTTCTTTTCAGCAGAAATAAGTGGAATGGGGACTCCTCACTGGTAAGATAGAATTTAGGTATTAGGAAAAGAGGTTAGAGACTTTCAGACCAGAATGGGGCAGGTTTCCTGCGTTTTCCCCAGCACACTTCACTGCCTGGCTCTTTCCAAGGACTCTGGTCTTCTTCAGAGAGTCCTGGACTGATGTGTGGCATTTACACGTGAAACATTCTGAACCTGATGTTGAGAAATACATCTGCCTGGATTTATCAATAAGCTTGTAGCTTGCTACTTAACTCTACCCCAGCAGAATTTTATCCTTCTCTGCCGAGTCTTTGCCAGTGCATAATGCAGGTGTTTGAGTTGTTGCTTGGTTACAAGAATCGGCTTTTTAGTAATCATTTCCTATCTCTAAATGTGCAACAGAATTTGGCCAATGTCTGTCAGATGATTTCCTGTTTGCTGTCGATGAGGTATTGCAATATTTTAAACTGATATTTTTACGTTATCATCTAAGGAGCAATTTAAAAACCAGTTTGAGTGCCATTCTGTTCAGAGTTTTTCCATTTATTTAAAATTAATTCCTTCAACCAAGCGCTTGGATATGCGTGCAACTACAGCTTCAGGTGGAATTACCTCAGATGTGCGGAGTTCACCTAAAACTGTTCTGAAGAGCGAGAACAAGAGTTGATATGCATTTCTGTGGGGCAGTATTGCATTCTGGGTGTATCAAGCAGACAAAGAGATGTTCCTGTTGGATGTTTTCCCCAGTTAAGGAGGGAGAAGTGCTGTCCCAGCTGTGCAAGGCGGAGCAGTTCCAGTGCAGCAACAAGCGCTGCATCCAGGAGCGCTGGCGCTGCGACGGGGACGACGACTGCCTGGACGGCAGCGACGAGCACTCTGACATCTGCTGTACGTATGCACTTCCCTTTTAACCCTCAAGCCATGCTTGACTTCAAGGACTGCAAACCAGACAGTGCCAGCCAAACAAAACCAATCATCCTTAAGCCTTTCATGCAAATCTTTCATTTCCTTCTTTTCCTCAGTGCTGTAATAAGAGCCCTTTCAAATCTCACTGGTGCACTCGTTGCATAGCACAGTGCAAGAGCAGTCACCTTTTGGGGTTGGCATAGTTATTCCTGATTCTTTAAATATTGGTGGTTTTTGCTTTGTTTTCCACTATTTCTTGCGCGGGTCACAGTAAAACACCTGATGGGAGGGAATGGAAAAAGGGAGCCAGGCTCTTCTTGCTCGTGTCACTAGGAGGACGTGAGGTAATGTACACAAACTGAAAAGCATTATTTTTTTCTGAACATCTGAAAGATAACACTTTTTTACTGTCAGACACTGGAATAGATTGCCCAAACTGGTTGTAGAGTTTCTGTCTGTGGAGATGCTTGAAACTTCTGTGGACACGGTCCTGAAAAACCTGCTTTATCTGGCCTGCTCAAGTAGGGGACTGCACCAGGGGGATTTTGGTTCCTTCCAACCATGAACATTTCTGAGAGTGTATAATGCATTTCTTAAAATTAACAAAAAAACAAAAATCCTCAGGAAAAAAAGAAAAAACAAAACCAAAATAAAACCAAGACAAAAACCCCACAAGTAATAAAACCAACTAAGTAAACATCCCCCCCTCCCCCCAATGCCCTGCCAAGAAAACCAAGCCTTCAACAAAACCAAAAACCAACTCCCTTCACCACTTCCAGTATCAAATTAATGTACATTGTCTTTAAAGTTACAGTTTTACGAGAGATGTATTTTTTATCTGTAGAGGAGCTCCACTGTTGAAATGAGAAATAATAGAAAACATACCAATTATGTCCCTTTCATTTCTGGGAGGTACTTAAGTAGCCTGCTTTAAAATTAGTGTCTCAGCACTGAGAATTCTCTTCCTTTCTCAGCTTGTCACAATGCTTTCAATTTCTGTCCTTAGATCATTTCTCTAAACCAAATCTCCTATACTGAAATGAAAGTACAATATTTCTCCCAATCAGTTGTAGACATGAACACTCTTCTGCTCTGCAGTACTGTTCTATGTGTCTGAAAACTCTTATCACAGTCTCTCTTTCTTATCTCTTTGAGACCAAGCAGCTCTAAACTGTTCTGGGTTTTTGTTAGTTTTTTTGTTGTTGTGTTTTGGTTTGTTTTTGTTTCCTTCTCCTAGTAGATTATGGCAGGCTTTTTAGATTTCATTGCTCTTTTCTGAAGCGATTCTAGGGGGTTGGATGTGTAAAACTGGATGTGTGTATCTCTGCTGAGGCTTTTGTGAGGCTGGTTGGGCTGAGAAAATGTGTTTGTTAAGGGTGATTGCTTATTCATCCTTAGGTAAATCTTGCCTGCTTCACAGGGGCCTGATTCTGCTGATACAAATTTGTGATCCTCTGTAATGCCTTCACCTTTTGCCATATGGCTGTTAAATGGAAAGTTTTGGATTTGTTTTCTTTCATTGTGGTTTTCTTTTTTTCAGCATTTATGTATTTTGGTAGCTCCATGTAGTAGCCACTGCTGATTTCAGTAATATTTTTAAAAATATTTTCCTAGGTCTGAATTGTAATGCTTACTCTCATTTTGTTTTGAACAAAAATGCATTTCTTGCATTTAAATTAAGGAGCTCAGCTAATAAACACAGTGAGAAGGAAAATCTTTCAGCAGATTTGACTTGATTGTCTTTTAAATTAGTGTAAGGAAGACCAGTTCATTGATCAAAGATTGTAATTCTCTGAGGATTTATACAAATATAAATGAAATCATAACCTGGTCTTAAACCTGAATGTGATCTATAGTTTACAGGGCCAGTGTGATAACATTGATCTCCTCTCAGCAGTTGCCATAGTAACCCCAATAGTTCTTTATGAGTTTGAAATATTTGCAATTATGAGTAGAATACACACACGTTACTAAATATATATGAGCAAAAGCTTAACAACCATTTAAAGCAGTATTTATTTCAAGTATTGAAGTCTAATTTAAAATTAAAAAAAAAAGTCTTCAAATTGTGATTTTATTACTTGGATGCCTCCAGTTTTGTTCTCCAGTTCCATTACTAACTTTGGAAATATGAGATTTGGGCCACCTTTTTGCTCAGATTATTAATTAATCTCTGCTTCCTGTGCTTCTGGCACCCTGCACACCAGCCAGGGTTCATGTGCCATTGATATCACCCTCACTCTGTGTCGTCTTCAATTGCAAGAATAGGCAAAAAGGTCAAAGATAAAAGCTACTGAAATGTCAAGGATAAGCCTGCAAGACATCCTTTCATTTTAAATACCCTTTGTTTCCACATGTATGTTAAACTTTGAAAAAGAGACTGTGGATGGTTGAGTAGGTAAAAAAATAGCTGGAGATTATTTTTAACTATTATTTTTAATTATTTTTATTTTAAGTTTGAAACAGTGTACAGTTTAATGTTCTTGTCTAGATCAAGATGAGCAAGATCTGCTAATAATAGACATTATTAGCATGAAGGAAGCAGAACATAAACACTTTGCAGTTGCAAGAGCAAGCCAATAGTGTTTACATAAATCCTGTGCATTCAGCTTCATCCTTTCCATGAAAATTGGTAGCCAGGAAAACACATTTGAGAGATACCTTGTTCACTCCTGAATACCAGATTTTATTTTTTGTTGTTAGTTTTACACCGTGTTGCATATTTCACTTTTTGACACCTACAATTTCATGGTGGGTAAACAGCAGATCTTTATGTGGCCATTCACAGTAATGTGCCTCATTTTAGAAGCATTTTATGACCTGCCCAAATCCCTGCTCACTGTGGTATCACATTTTGGGTCTGCACTCAGCAGCTTGCATCTGTTCCCCTCGGTGTTTTCCTTTGTTTATATTCACTTCAGTTTGCAAACGTCATCACACTGCCCAAATGGGATCAAGAACATGTTTCTTTAAGGAAACAACACTGTAATATACTGCTTTTATCACCTAATAGGAGAGGATCTCCATGTTGGAATATTTACTAGATATTATTTAATTTATGATTGAAGTACTGTGATGTTTGTAATTGACTGGTTTGCTGAACAACCCTTATGTCATGGTGGTTATACATCCAGAATAACCACACTGACTGCATCACTAGGGAACAGCATTTAATGTGCTCTTCTCACAGATTTCACAGATGTTTTTCTCAGATTATTTTCTTTGGGAAAAAAACCCTTTCTTTTCTTCTCCACAGTCAATCACAGTTGTCCTGATGATCAGTTTAAGTGCCAAAATAATCGCTGCATTCCCAAGAGGTGGCTTTGTGATGGAGCTAATGATTGTGGGAATAACGAAGACGAATCAAACAAAACTTGTGCAGGTAAAAATTTTACTTGGTTGTGCAAACAACTTCATTTCCATAAATAGTTCAGGACTGATTTGAACTGAACTGAACCAGGCTGCTACTTGTAATCTGATTACTGATGTATTAAAGGAATTCAGATTTTGATGCCACCAAGGCTGGAATGCAAATTATATTTTACTTAATCCATGTGCTTGGCTGTGCTTTCCAAAGTTATTCAGCTCTTAATCTCTCCATATGGGTCGACTGTCAAAGCAATGCTCAGGTACAAATTTTGAGGTACAAATCTTTTTTGGCAGTTAGAACTCTGTTTATTAGCGTGCTGTGATGGGTGCCATGTCACCAGTAAATTTTATTTTATGCAGATTTACTTTATGCATAATTAGTTATAGAGTTTCAACTCGGTGCCTTGAAATTCTTTTAATTTCTGAGTTATTAACTTGAGAGCGGGTTTTCAAGCAAATAGCAAGATGAGGATTGTTTACTGATTCCAGTGTAGTAAATCATGGAATTCCCAATCTGTCCTTTGCTTGTGTGGAAGTGATGTTTAGTGCTTGTTGTCAGAGTACTCTAAACAAGCATTAAATCTCAAATATGCACCCTGCCAGCCATCAATAAGCTGATGAGTGTTTTGAACTGAAGTGCAGTGCAAGACAACACACATTGTGTATTAAAATATTCCCTCTTGTCTCACTGCCTTGATGTTCTTTGATATCCAACTGTTTGCTTGTAGGGTGAGAGCCTAATTTGAAGACCTTTTTTTTTTTTAACCCTTTGTCAGCTGGCGATGGATCAAATTTTGTGTTCTGGTTTTCCATTTATTCCTCCACTGGCAAACACAGTTAATGTTTAAAAAAAACTATGCTTTGAAATATTTTAAACATATTCCTCTTCTGAGTTTTGGGCTACTTCTCTGAAGAAAAAGGAAAATGGCAGTTGAAAATAAGAAATGAAGAAATATTCTTTCAGACACTGGGGTTTTTGACATATCATCCAGTTTTTTAAAGTGTAGAATAGCAACAAGGTGAATTCTAAAAGCTTAAACTTGGAATCAAAATCTGTGTTGCTATCACTGGCATTGTTACAGGTTCAAATTCTAAATAAAATTATACGTAATGAGAGTTTTCTGTTAGCTTTTTAGTGACATTTTACTATTCATCACCTTTCTAAGTAATTTCTGTAGCCACATAGCATTAATTCGTTTAGTGATCCTTATTTCTTCAGGAGGAAGACCTACATTGATTCCTTTAATGGATGATGACAGTTCAGTGATTGCAAAGGCAAGGATTCTAAGAACAGCCAGGCCAGGCACATCACACACAGGCTAATTCCCATTTTCCCATGTAAATACAAAATTCACAAGATCATTGTTCACGGTGTGAGATTCAGGTTGTTAATATTCCAACTGGTGGGAATTTTTATGCCCTGATTTTGGTTTACTTCAAGCATTAGTGCATATTAATTCTCTTCTCACCGCCTAGTTTTGCACATTTATTTTTTTAGAATTTCATGTTTTGTGAGGAAGAAGCCACTAAGAATTCCACATGGCAGAGGTAGAGCATGGCCCTGCAGATGACCTCAGTTTTCTCTGAAATCAAAGGAGGTGAATGATGTTTAGTCAGAGCAGGGGAAAGGTGCAGCAGGCCAGGAGGTGCCCTCCAACCCTGCAGCTTCTAAAATCACACACCCACCTAGAGACAAAAGGGATCTTGTCCATTTCCCTCGTATTTTTGGAGTGTTTTGTCTTGACAGCAAGAACGTGTCAGGTTAATCAGTTTCCTTGTGGGAATGGTCGGTGTATCCCAACGTCATGGCTGTGTGACAGGGAGGATGACTGTGGAGATGGAACTGATGAAATGACATCCTGTGGTAAGTGGATTTTTCTTTTGGGGGGAGAGAAAAGTAAAATTCTTCTGTAGCATTTAAAACTTAAGCTTGTCAACTCTTTTCAAGTCAGCTGAAATAATAATACTATTTCTGAAATGGCTAATAGAATTTGTTTGGTTGATAAATAAACCCAAAGCAAGTGCAGCATTTTCTATTTAATGAGTTTTTAACTACAATACCAAATATGCAGATCAATCAAGACTTTTTTAATTTACAGCCCATTATCAAATGCTGTCACCCTCAAAAATTATTCTTTATCTCTGTCACATACCTCTGCACATGGTCCCCTTCAGCACATTCTAGACGTCAATAAAACCAGCCTGTTTCAAGCCTCAAAAGAAGTATATTTGATCTTGTATTTTTCAGGAAAAAAAATAAATTCTTGGTTCTATCATGAGAGAGTATCAGCAGCTGTGCTGACTGCTGCTTTGCTGAGATACTGCAGAGAGGGGTGTGCTCTCTCTAATCAGCTGCTTCCAAACAATTAAGGATTTTAATAGTCATTTGTTTCGCAGGGCACTGGTAACTGCTGTGAGTCTGAGAGCACAGGGGTCAATGAGCTGTCTGCAGATACAGAATCACAGAATATGATGCATTGCAATGTAGAATCACAGGCTGGTTTGGGTTGGAAAGAACCTTCAAGACCATTTTGTTCCAACCCCCTGCCATGGGAAGGGACTCCTCCCACTAGACTGGAGCTGCATCCAAACTGGCACTGAGCACTTGCATGGATGGGGTGAAAAATTAAGTCTTTACATGGATAAAAATAATAATATTATTAAGGTAGACTTGTAATTGCTTCAAATCAAATAAGTTCAGTTGTGTACAGAGGTAGGATGAGTGAACAGGTGACTTGTATTTAACATTCCCCAAAGTTCTCTCTGTTTAATGGCACAGCATTGAATCTCAGTGCTAGAACAGTCTCTCTGCCTCTGCCTCATGTTCTCAGGCACTTCAGGAACACAGATGTTCCTGGCACCCTTGGAAATCCTTCCCATGACCTTTGTTCTGTATGCTTTTAGCTGACATGGACTATTTCTTCAGATCTTTTAATCTGTTCCATTAATTTCTTGGTGTTCATGATTTAATTTTTAAATAAAAATTTTTATTTTTTAAATCTCCTATTAGATGCAGCTGGTTTGGTTTAGTGCTTCATCAGAGTGTGACTTTTTAAGACAAAACTTTGTGAGGTTCAGTAAAAACAAAGTGATTTCAGTTCTCATCCTAAGAAAGTTTTATATTTATGTGGCATGTTTTAAAAGTTTAGAAAAACTCTTCAGTATTTTCCAGGGTGTTTAACAAGTTAATAATCAATGCACACATCTACCTATCTCATTTGCTTTAGAAGAAAAAGAAGTCTGAAAAAATTCAGAATATATTTAAGTTACTCTATTCAGAAACATATTTAATAACTATAGAAAGAAATATGTGTTTTCAATACAGACAATTTTTTGTGAATGATGTTGTCTCAGATTCCTACTGCTTTGCTGGAATGCTGGGAGGAATTGTTTGTGAAGGCTGACATTTTAATTTTTGGTATTTTAGTATGCCAGTGCAGAGTAACTTTATTTCTTGGCTGTTCTTTAGCTTGGTACTTAACCTTCCCATTTTTTAGTGTTCCATTTCCTGTCTCTCACTGGCAGTGCCGTTGCAATTGGAGAACCCTTTTGTAAATCAACACATGGAAAATAGAGTTTGTATCAGTTATCAAGCTATGGTTAGTCTTAAATATTGTCACGTTTAGTGGGAAAACCAGGCGTGGTCTGATGGGAATATTGGACCAGGCCATTTGTCACAGAGTAATGAATTTCATGGCCCATGGTGAGGAAAAGTAGGG